TCAGGACTAGGAGATCTTTACTGGCTGTTTAGAACAGATGTTGGCAAACTGTAGTCCTAGGGCCGGAGTCAGCCTGCAGCCTCTTTTCAGAGGGCCCATAAACTAAGATTTTTGGTCGAATGGTCGAAAAAAATCAGAAGATTTTGTGAGACGTGAAGATAAAATTCAAATGTCAGTGTCCATAAGTAAAGTTTATTGGAGCACAGCTGTGCATGGCTTTGCACGTCTGCCTACCTTTGTGGTACAGTGGCACAGTCGAGTATTTGCAAGAGAGACCCTAAGGCCCACACAGCCGAAATTGCTTACACCTCAGTCTTTACCCTAAAAGTTAGCTTACTCCTAGTTTAGAATGTCACTGCGTTAGGAGGGTGATTTTTTTTTTTAATAGTAAAAACTCTGTTAAAGACCGCTGGATACAGGCAACTATAATTGAAGTTTTGTTTCATTTGTTAAACTTCTATCAAAGTGCCCATATGCCAGTTTCTAACAATCTTTTTTTTTTTTTAAGAGAAGGGGAGAGAGGGATGGGGAAGGGCAGAGGGAGAGAGAGAGAGAGAGAATCTTAAGTAGGCTCTTTGCCCAGCATGGAGCCTGAATCCATTCAGCGGGGCTAAATCTCAGGACATCTATTCCAGTTTTATTTTGTTTTTGTTTTTTAAGTATAGCCTTATATAAGTGAAAGTTAATCTGAAATTTTTTATAGTCCTGTTTTAGCTGATTTCAGTTCCTTTTTCATAGCAGTGTTATGGCTGGAATGTAGATTTGACCCAGGCCCAAATAGGGCCAAATTGCTGGAAAGCATTGCTGTGTGGCCATTAAAACTACAGCAGACCCACAATCGTAAAAACAAAATGCATCCTATGATCCCTCTTCATTTAGTCTTTTATTGCTGGTGGAGGCTTCAGTCTATGTTCTTTGCTGGTTATAGAGTGTGGGCAAGTGTGGTTTATTAGCAGGAACTGGTCGAGGCGCTCAGGGGCAAGAGGGGAGCTCAACTCAGAAATGCTTCCCCAGCAATGACTCGTGCATCTCCTCCCACCGCACCCCAGCACTTATTATCTGTGCTGTGTCTTAAAAATGTGCTTTGTTCCTGCCTCCCGTCTGGACCTGATGGTGGTGAGAAGGAGCATTTTTTCAAGATCACATATCTTTGGGGTAAATCAGCAAATGGTTAGGATTTCTAATTGCACGAGCCGTAAATTCTCAGTAGAGCCGTAAGCACTCTGAAATCAGCCGACAAGTTGATCAGTGTCGTTGCAGACGCTGGAATGACCCAGGCCCCCAACGCTTTGAAAGGAGAAAAGGCTATTTTCTTAATCTCCGCAGCAAATACATAAGGCATGCACCTCTTAGGCTTATCCAAACCTCCAACCTGGGAGGAATTAGGGGACGTGTCATTTGGTATTCTGCCGATTGCCGAATATCTCAGAAACCACAGCTCAGATTTAACCTGGAGAATTGCAGTCATGTGTCTTTAAAAGCAAAATGCATATCTAATGCCTTACACGGTGCATTGAGGCACTTACAAAATGCAGATGAGCCCAGATTTTCATTTTTAGGAATCACATTTATACCTAGCTCATTCTTCATGCATCAGACATTTTCGTGGCGCAACTTGCCATGTAGAGCTGAAACTGTACTCGTGTAATTTAGCCTTTTCAAAATGAGGTCTGTCATCACCAATGTCAGGGACACGACTGGGATTAGGGCGAGGCGCCTGGGGTGCAGAATTTAAGGAAGAGCTCACTCGAGGAGCCAGCCCTGTATTTGCAAGACTTTGAGGAGGGTGAGTGCCTTCTTAAATTCCACACCTGATGTGCTTCTCTTGCCTCACCCTCATCCTACCCCCAGTCAGGGTCTTTTTTGTAGGTCCACTAAAAAGGTGCGTTGCTGGGTCAGATCCTTGGCTTAGAATCTCTGGGATGGGGGTAGTAGGGGTAGGGGGCAAAAATGTCTATTTTTTTTTTTAGTTTTTATTTTCTTAGTGCTTCGAACACACATTGATGTTTAGAGACCTTCTGGGCTTGGTTGGCCAGGCTAAGGACCAGCAGGACAAAGCTGCTCTGCTAGCCTCGGGTTACAGCCGGCCTGAGACGGTAGGGTAAAAATCTGCCCAGTTAACCAGCACACGGGAACAAGTAGGCCAGCCGGACTGCACCACTTGCCAGCCCTGGCCGTTGTGTAACTGCCACCAGGCGTCACGCTGGAAGGCTTGGCTCTTGAGCACTGGTAGCCAGAGCTGAATGTAATTGATTATGTGATTTTGAGCTGTTCCAATTTTTTTAATTAAAAAAATGTTTTATTGGTTCATTATTAGCTACACGCTCACCGTAAAAAAAAAAAGAGAGAGAGAAAATAAGTCAAAAGAATAAAGTAGAAACTATCCATAATCCTTTTACCCAGAGGTAACCATCGTTAACATATTAAGGTTCCCTTTCAACCTTTTTTTTTCTCTATTGAATTAATATTTAGTTCCACTCTAAGAAATCTCATCATTTGGGTTAGGAAGGATGGGTGACAAAAGGAATGTCGATGGGAGGGAATCATCTTAGGACCTCGATTCCAGTCTAAGTCCTATCCCATTACCTTTGCCATCTCTGTGTAGACCTCCCCTCTCCCCTACAATCTCCGTGTTAAAGAAGAATTCACCTGGCCAGGTAGGTGTGTGGATAGCTTCTTGTAAGAGTGGGAATAGAGCCCCTAGCACAGCAAAGTCAGCATCGGGCTCTTGTCCCAGGTCCCTTCTTAGGATTCTAATCGAATTCCTTGGACTCCGAGGAACTTGGTTTTTTAGAGGGGACTTAGTGGTTCAAACAGCTCTTCCTCTGTGCGTCTGCCGCAGGTCAGACTCTGCTCCGAGTCAGAGGTACAATCAGGGAGATGTGGTTCTGCCCTTGAGAACGTAGAGTCTGATGGAGGAGGCAGCCCAGGAGGTTGTGGAAGAGTGTCAGGTGCTCTCGCATGCTGCGGGAAGAGGGAGGAGCGACCAACCAACTTGGCTTTGGAGAGCTGAGGATGGCTTGGAACAGGAGATGACGCTCGAATGGAGTCCAGAGAGACCTGCCTTATGGCGCCTGCCGTCTTCAGCAAATAGCATTCTCCTAAAGTTGCTCTGTTTTTTTGTGTTCTGTCCTACTTTCCAGCACAATCACACAGTTGCCCATGATAATTAAATGAGACTTGCCAGACGGATACTTTCGCAAGACGATGGCTCGTCTTCTTGCTCTATTTGTGAAAGCTGGCGTTGGATCCAAACTCTCAAGGATGCCCCTACCTTGAGATCGCTTTGGAGGGCCACTCTTTTGTGTGTATTTGCCAAAGGGCCTGCCCAGGCGTCGGGCCAGGCTGAGAGACAGGTGGGTGTGCCACGCATGTGGACACCGATCCCCGCCAAGCCGTCCTGCCTGCAAGGAGGTGAGGTGCTGGGAGGTGGTTCTACAGTGGTCCCTTCCCTTGAAGAAAGACACTCCTGAGCCTCCGATCTGTCGGTCCCTATCTTCTCACCGTACACAATTTTGCTATCAGCTGCAAACTAATCAAGGTCAGATTCCCAACGCGTCGGGTTAAAACACTCATCGTCACACTCTCTGAAGATTTTTGGATCACTGAAGAGCATATTCCTGGTGGCAAACACAGTTGAGGGGTAGCAAACTTGATTAACCAGAGAGGGTAGGTATTCCGAAATAGGAAATGATAGCTGAACCATTAATAAATTAGTGGTTAATAAAACTGTCTCGTGTCTGCGAAGCATTCTTCCTCCTTTGGGTGCTCCGTCTCATTTGATTGTCCCAGCATCGTTGTGAAATGGGGACTGTTGTTACTCCCACATGACACACAAGGAGGCTTGATGGAGAGACAGTTTATTGGTAAACGTGGGAGCCGGCGGCAGGACACCCTTCACCCCCCAGCACACAGTGGGGTGCATCCCATTCTGTGTCCGATGTCATACTGAGGATCCAGGGTGAGCGCCAGGGTGAGCGCATCCCCGGCCCTGCCATCGGATCCTTACAGGTCGGCTTACTTGTTCTCCAAGGCTTAGACCCCTTCACTTACATTTCCTGTAGAACAACTGAATGTAATAAGTTCATTTTCCTTTCACTTTAGAGAATAACCTCAAGAATTTGCAGTGCTTTTAGGCACCCTTGATTGGATGAATATCAGTTGATTATTGTCGTTCCCCAGAAATGTCAAATCAGAGCATGCCTGCTCATACAACCTACTTTTTCAGGGATTATATACAGGTTTAGATAGATAGACATGTGAGTAAAACTCTTGGGCTGGCTTCCTCTTAAAATTTTCTGTCCATATTTTGCATTTGAAATACAAATTTGGAGTTTAAAAGCCCGTATCGTATTTTACTCTTATGTTTTGGCTTCTCCGTAAATAGGGTGATTCAGTTCTTTTATTTCCACCCACTCCCTTCTGCCCCCACCCCTGAAAAAGAGGACATTCTTGGAGGGGGGAAGTGGGTGGGTGGGTGGGGGCTTCCCATTTCCTAGAACTCCTCTTAATTTTATCCATCCCAGTCTGTGCCATAACTTGAAATTCTCTATGACAGGTTCAGCAATTTGAAAGTCTGATGGCAAGAACCTTAAACACGATTTCCACCTTCACAACAGTTTGGAATCCTAAAGTTTGGATTAGAAGCAGTCTTGCAAATTCTGCCCCCACCACCCCCCAACTGGAAGCAGAAACCCGGCCGGGGGTCCTGCGAACCCCACCTCCGTTCACTCGACCCCAGACAGGGAGTTGTCACCTGCAGTGTGGACAGTCCACAATGGAGCCAGGCAGCTCTAAACGGGGGGAAACCCTTTCCTGGTCTGACCCTCGCTTCTGCCTCCCTGTGCCTTCCATCACTGGTTCCGATGCTCCCCTTTGACTATGTCCCCTCAGGGTCCTCTTTAAACTCAAGAAAGTTCTAAGGATTCGGAAACCGTGGAGGGGAGCCTTGGTGAGGTGTTCCGGCAGCCTGACCTATGGCCATTTCTCTTTTCCTACAGCAAAGCCAGAAATCCTGACCCTCGAAAGTCTCACGAATGGCATGCTCCAGTGTGTGGTTGCAGGATTCCCAGAGCCCGCGGTAGATTGGTATTTCTGTCCAGGAGCTGAGCAGAGGTGAGGGGATTATTTTGGCTACTACTTAACGTGCACGAGGGAAGGACAGCAGGGTAGTTGAACTTCAGATAGGTTTTCCGATTCTTTTTTTTATTTTTTATTTTTTATTTAATCTTTTTTAATTTTTTTTTATTTATTTATGATAGTTACACACAGAGAGAGAGAGAGGCAGAGACATAGGCAGAGGGAGAAGCAGGCTCCATGCACCGAGAACCCGACGTGGGATTCGATCCCGGGTCTCCAGGATCGCGCCCTGGGCCAAAGGCAGGCGCTAAACCACTGCGCCACCCAGGGATCCCAGATTCTTTTTTTTAAAGCTTTGTTTGATTATCCTTTTTTTCCCTACCCATGTGGCTTCTTAAGGGGGGCATAATTGCCATATTTTTCGTGGTAGACATTAATTTTGTTTGCTGAGACATGATTACTGAGTGACTTACTTCTCTGTCTTGGTGGTTATCTTCTGGATTTATCGTGCAGTTTCTAGCCTGCAGGTAGATAAAGCAATTTTCCAGGACAGAGTAATTAGATTTCCATTCTGTACACAGGAGGCAACGTGTGTGGGAGATGTGGCTGTAGTTTTCATGAAAAAAAAAAATTGCCTCGAAGTTAATTGCCAAGTTACCAAAAAGTAATGATCGTGCAGTTACAACATACATACGGCATTTGTAAGCTGCGGGTTTTTAAATTTTTTTTTTTTTTTCCTCCTTGATTAGGTGCCCGGCCCCTGAGCAGAGCACATCCGGCAGGGTGCTCCCTCTCCCTTCCAATCTGCACTTAAGCCTTAAATGGTCCTTTCACATTACCTGGAGATGAAAATGGGGTCACCATGGCTGTTTTTATCCATCAAATGCTATTTTGCGCTCGGGCTTTTAAAAGCCCAGTGTAACATCACAATTGAATAGTCAGGATAATAATAGAGATTTCATTTCTCACAGAATAGTCCTTTTTATCACAGCACGTTGGAAGAGGTTACGTAGGACTGTTGTTTTCAGCGGCGTTTTAGTGGAATGTTTCCTTCGGGGAACAGTAAGAAGGACCCGGGGCCCCTGGAAAAGCCCCTACAGTGGAAGTAACCCCAGCAGTTACTGTTCTCCATACAGCAAATATTTATGGGGTGCCACTTGTATGCCATACCCTGGTCTAGTGAGCCAAACACACCTCGGAGTCCCAGCTTTGTGAGTTCATATCTAATGGGTAGAGAGAGGTGAGCAAAAGATGAAATAAACAGGTAAGTGCTAATGAGAAAAACCAAGCAAGGTGTAAGGGAATAGAAAAATATTAGGTATATGGGGGACGTGATTTAAAATGGGGGTCCAAAAAAAATAAAAAATAAAAAAAAATAAAAAAAAATAAATTGGGGGTCCAGCCCCTGATGGATGGGCTTTGCTACCTGGAGTACAAGCCAGTGGTCCGGCCTCTGTCTCCCTCTAAAACCTGGATCAGGACCTCAGCTGCTGGGATTTGGGGGGCTGACCTGCCTTCATTCTCGCAGACTTGAACTCTCTCCTCCTCTAAGCTCTCTTGTCAACCCTCACACATGTACCCTTTCACAGTTACTTTATAAAGGCCTACTGTGTGCCCGCTGCCTTTCTTCCATTCCTTTCCAGCCCTTTCCGTAGCTCTCCAAAGTGGGTATTACCATCCCGACCTTCTAGCTGTAGAAACGGAGTCCTGGAGGGTTTTAAGTAGCTTGTCAACCAAACAGGTATTTGAATCTGGATTCAAACTCCTGTCTCACTCCCCATTTCTTCCTTTCCGCCCTGCTTCTCTTGCTCACAGCGCCAGGGGAGTGCTCATGCATCCTCACACCCTTGGTTGAAAAAGGACATTTCTGATCATGACCCACTCCCTTAGTTTTAAACGTATGCCCATTCCAATGTGATTGATTGATTGATTGATTGATTGATTTTCCTAGAGTAAATCCGGGCTGTTATTTTCTCTTCCCTCTAGATGTTCTGTCCCTATTGGGCCAATGGATGTGCAGATGCAAAACTCGTCTCTGTCACCGTCTGGAAAACTAGTGGTTCAGAGCTCCATCGATTATAGTGCCTTCAAGCACAATGGCACAGTCGAGTGTAGGGCTTACAACAATGTAGGCAGGAGTTCTGCCTTTTTTAACTTTGCATTTAAAGGTAATGGCGAAGGTATATTTCTTTTTGATCCAATGTAAGGGGACGTTTAGGCTCTGCCGGCCACATCAATCATGATTTTAAGTCCATCCCATCAATGACCAAGTCATTTCTGGTAATTTCCACATTATACCATGCTGTCATCAAACTCACTAAGTTTCATCCTGTACTAGTTTGTTGATAACACGTACGCAGTGATTTCAACCACATACATGTATATTTACACGTAGGTATGTACGCGTGCGTGTGCGTGTGCGTGTGCGTGTGTGTGTGTAGTGAATCGCGTATTTCCAGTCATTCCTACTGAAAAGGGGCGGGGAAAGAAAATAGGGAATTATATTTGCCTCACAGCCAGATATGACCAGAATTAGGGCAGTTAAAAATTTTAATTTTACTCCTTGAAAATCATGTGTTTGAACACGTTGCCGGATGCTATACGAGAAAGTTAACGTTGCCTTTTATGAAGTCATGTCAGTGAGCCATTTCTTTCGTGTCTGCCAGATTTGATCCATGAGGGACTAGCTCTGAACATTAAGTTAAATGATCCTTGTGGATACATTGATGAGTTGGTATGAAGGTGGAAGACAAAGAAGCTGGGCCTCTACATTCCCAGCGCTTGGTTTTGTTTTCTTGAGTTGGCAAAGGTGTGTGCCAGTAAGTGCTATACTCCCGGTTTTTGAGTAACGAGGGGAAGAGTCTTACGTTGTTCTTCATCACAGGTTTTTTTTTTCCCCCTCAGGCAATGAAAAGAACACTTTAAAGATATTTTCTTGGTTGTAAAAGAAATTCTCATCAGTGTAGAAAATCTGGAAAATACAGGAAAGCCCAAGGAAGAAAATATAACTATCCGTAAAGGAAACTTCTTAAAGTTGTCCAAGGCAGGAATTTAGCTGAAATACAAAGTTCACTTATTATGTTGCTTTTCATTGACAAAACAGCCATAGAATTATCTGTGGGCTACAGAAATCTCAACTTGCACAGTAGTCTGGTTTGAGGTCGTTCCTTCGAGAGATCCCTTTGAATAACCAGAGGAAGGTAGTATTAGCAAGGCAAGGAGTTTATGAGATGCCCTTGGCTTTGAATCCTGCCATGGTCTGTAAGGCGGGGGATGGGTGAGTTTGGGGTCAGGTGGTTGTCATGAAGCTCCACCCCTGCTAATACGTTGTGATTCCGCATCCCCCTTTCATTTTAGAACAGATCCATTCCCACACCCTGTTCACACCTTTGCTGATTGGCTTTGTGACCGCAGCTGGAATCATGTGCATTATCGTGATGATTCTTACCTACAAATATCTACAGGTAACCATTCATTTGTTCTCTGCCCCAAGTGCCATAATGATCGAACTGTTATCATTAAAAGATGATCTGTCTCTCTTTTCTCCCCCCACCAGAAACCCATGTATGAACTACAGTGGAGGGTTGTTGGGGAGATCAATGGAAACAATTATGTTTACGTAGACCCAACACAGCTTCCTTACGATCACAGATGGGAGTTTCCCAGACACAGGCTGAGGTTTGGTCAGTATGAAACAGGGGCTTTCCATGTAACGTTTTTGTGCACGTGTAACAGGGACTTTAGGGAACCCCATTAGCTTCCTTTGTTCTGTTCCAACTGAGACAATAAGTATTTTCTGTGAAGTTCCATCACTTTTGATAGATTCCGCATAAAGCACCTTATAGAGAAATGTCTCTAGCTGGATTTGTCCTTAATTCCTTAACAATTCCTCGATTGTTGACTTTGAAATTGCCCAGATGCTCCTTTGGTCCTACCACCACCCCTTAGTCTTTTCTTCCTTTCTGCAGGGAAAACTTTGGGTGCTGGTGCCTTCGGGAAAGTGGTTGAAGCCATTGCATATGGCCTGGCTGGGTCAGATGCGGCCATGACCGTTGCCGTTAAGATGCTCAAACGTAAGTTTCTGCAGGTGGCTGCATGCCCTCAACATTGGCTTGCCAGATTTGCTTCTTGCTAAAATGAGATTTTTTTCTGATTTTAGCAAATGCCAATTTAACCGAACAAGAAGCCCTAATGTCTGAGCTCAAAGTCTTGAGTTACCTCGGTAATCATATGAATATTGTGAATCTTCTTGGAGCATGCACCGTTGGAGGTAGGGCCATGACCAAATCGACTTTCGTCATCTTTCGAATTATCTAAAGAGGGGAGATCTTAATATGATTGCGACAGTGCTTGGTTATATCTTACTGCAAGATTTTTACCCGGGTTGTTACCTCTTGTAGATGTTTCACACCCCTGCCCCAAAAGCCATTCTTAAGAATGTATATTTGAGTTTTATCACCATGGGGACATGCCCTAGTTACTGTCATGGGCGTTGTATCAGCATCAACCTCTTGAGTACCTCGAGAACCTCTCATCTCCTCCAGAAAACTTTTCTTTTATCTTGCAAGCTATTTTACCGGAGCACATCTAGTCACTAAAGGGTCACTATCCATAATTAAAGATAGACCTTGAAGCCTGCAAGTTCTCCAGTACACACCAAATGAGACAAAACACTTCACCTCGGCAAAAAAAAAAAAAAAAAAAAAAAAAAGTAAATTTCCAGTTGGAAGCAATTCTGAGGTAGAGCCTTCCCTCAAGGATTTCTGCGATGTTTCCAGAAAACCTTTTGGTCTAAAGGAACAGAGATGTGTAGAATGAGCCATTCCTCAAGATGTACTGAGGTTCGCAGTCAAGTTGACGGCTTAACTTACTTCTTAAAACAGCCCCCATTAATGTTGCTTCCACATCGTGACCTGTTGGCAAAAATTCCTGCCCAAGTTAATCGGGTGCCTCTTGGCTTCAGAGCTGCAGCGTGAGGTTTAATTACAGCCCCGGAAACACCGGTGGCCGGTGGTGCTCAGAAGGCAGGTGGTGTCCCGGCGTGCCAGGTGCTCCCCCTCTCCAGGGTCATCTCAGCTGGCCACCCCGTGCCATTGGTTTTCCTCTGAGGCTGCACTTTCTGCCCTTCGTCATCTCCATAATAACATGAGGAGAGGGTGTGAAGCCCTGATGCAGAGCGAAGTGGATGGAAGGATTCGTGCAGGAAATTATGATGATTGTAGGATATTGTTGGAAGCTGGTAACTTGGATGTAGGTCAGGCCAGGCCCCGAGCCCTGACCTCGCTTAGGGAGGGGTACGAGGAGGCTTACTTGTTGAGTCGTCCTCCTCAGAATGCTGGTTTTTGCCGAGCCTGCTAAGTATCTGCCTTATCAAGGAACCTGAATGAAACCGGTCATGATGGCCCCTGAGTCTATGTAAAGGGCGCAGGGTCGTCTAGAGAGCTCACCTCTCTTTCACCTTCTCTTACATATCTGCAGGGCCCACCTTGGTCATTACGGAATATTGTTGCTATGGTGATCTTTCGAATTTTTTGCGAAGGAAACGTGATTCATTTATTGGCTCCAATCAGGAAGATCACGGAGAAGTGGCACTTTATAAGAACCTTCTGCATTCGAAGGAGCCTTCCTGGTGAGACTGATTCACATCAATCGCTGTCAACAGGCAGTTCAGGGGGTCGAAAGGGTTTGCAGTCAAGGCTGATTCTTTCAACAAATGAACAGAGGTACTTCGAGGCGCGCCAAATCAGAATCATTAAATCATTTAGGTGTCGTCGACGATTTAGAAAGTTTGAACGGCGTTTGTAAAGATTTAAATAGCGTTGAACTTAGATTTTTATTGATTTTTTTAATGCATCTTTAGCTTTTTTTTTTTCAAAGTGTTCTGTTCGATTGAATAATTCTGTACTTGTTTCACTTATCAGGGCTCTATTCTCGTGTGTCCTTTCATTTATTCTGTTGGGCTTGGTACTGTATGCATCTCTGCAGTGAGACACTGTTTGTAGGAAAAATGCTAAAGTCTGTCAAGTTGTCTTGGTAAATTTCTCGAAAACCTTTAACGGAGTGGCAAAGGAGCTCTGAACATACCCCTGCACGTAGGTTTCTCCCCATCTACCTCTGAATTATTTCCGTATACCTTGCCCTTCTTTTTTTTTTTTTTTTTTAAAAAAAACTCAGTCATGCCATAAAAAGGCACACGATTCTAGCACGTGTTTAAAAATTCTGTACCTTATTTTCATCTCTTTTCCTCTTTAATATCCTTCTGAATTTGAATGACGTGCACAGAGCTTCAGATTCCTTTAAGAACAATTAGTGTGGCTTAACGACCAGAATAGGATTCCTCTCTGCCTGGCCTGGCCTGTTCCTTCTAAAGGTTGAGGAAGATTCCCTAGATGCCCCCAGCCCAACAGAAATCATATTCGTCATGCCCAATCCCTTATACTTTATATTTCTGAAGTGGTGTGGTGGATTTTTTCCTCTCCTTTCTATTCGTTCTGTCCCCTACGTTTTGAGATGGCAAGACTGTGTTTCTTAAACTTAGCTCCAGGCCCTCGAGAAGGCCTCAGCAACTATTACTGATGGGGGGTTACTTCTTAAAGACCTTTTCTGTACCCCTTGACTAAAGGGTTTCTTCACCCCAGGTGAAGCCTTTTCATTGTCCTTTTTTTTTTTTTTTTTTAGTCCTATAGACTTGGGTAGTGTCAAGTGGTAGTAAAAACACATTACAAACCACCTTTGGTTAGTTTCTCCAGAGCATATGCTCCTTATGTGAATAAATGAGCCACTTTGCCTTATTTCTAGAACCTTGGCCCCATACGTGTTTTTCAACTTGCTGAAATAATGGCTCAAATTGTTCTATCCGATGTCGTGTTCTCTGTGCTTTGGGATCCCATATGGGACTGGAACCACCAGCGCACTCTGAAGGAGATTGTTGTCATAGTGTTTCTATGCTAATCAGAAGCAGGAAGTACTAGAAATCTTGAAGACTTTCCAGCCAAATGTTGCAGATTCAAGAGGTCCAGATGGTTCAGAAAATCATCCAAATTATTGGTGTTTATCTGAACTAAAGTTGCCTTTTTTAGACCTTCTTCCATCAGTCGCTCTATGTTAGCGATCCCTGCCTTCCTCCCCATCACACGTCTCAGAGCTCCTGCTCTTCTCGTCCTTCTTGTGTCTTTCATCTTGTCTCTTGGGGCTAATTTGAGACTTTGAGGGAACAGGGGATACTGTTTATGGTTCTCTGTTTCCCATTACACCTCTGGTGTCAAGAGATGGGACATTTCTAACCTGAGTCCCATCTATGAACACAAAAGAGACCGTCTCATTCCTGGGCATCGGGCCCTGATGTTGAATATTAAAAACTCCTGCATAATGAACAAGCTTTTCTTCATTCGAACCTAGTAATACTTTCTCTGAATAAAATCAGCCTCTTACGTAAAAAGGCAGTGGGGAGATAGAGCCTGCCCCATGGGAACTCCCCCATTTTCCCATTTTATTCAGTCATAATTTGACGGATGGATATTTCATCTCTCACAGCAGCAACAGTATTAATGGATACATGGACATGAAACCCAGCGTTTCTTACGTCGTGCCAACCGAGGCAGGCAGAAGGAGATCTGCGAGAATAGGTGGGTACCTGTCAAATAATAAAAACAACTTCATTCACAAAGGCTTTCTCATACTGCTGGGAAATACATTACCATGCCCCACGGTGACTGGTTCTCCTTTCCAGGAGGGCCCGACGGCAGAGCCACTGGTCAGTGGCAGGTCAGGGTTCCAAGTGAGCATTGGGGTGGGAGAGTGTTCGTCATCGTATAGGAGCATCTCACTGCACCAATGAAGATATATGTGTATCAACTATGTATTTTACACATCAAAAAAAAATAGGAGATTTGTGTATTTATCCACCATCCTTCTCCCCTGAAGCCCCAGACTGTGAATATGAACTTGGTGCTTGGGCACTTACCTTTCCTCAACGCTGCGTGGGTGACTTGCCTGCGCGGTCACATCAGTTCCTTATTACCAACCTTTGGTATTGTTGTTGTGCTGTCTTCTGTTTTCCAAGCTTTGAGGCTTAATTGCTAAGAAAGTCCTTCTTCTCCTAACAGGCTCACGCCAAGAAAGAGATGTGACTCCCGCCGTCATGGAAGATGATGAGTTGGCTCTAGATCTAAACGACTTACTGAGCTTTTCTTACCAGGTGGCCAAGGGCATGGCATTCCTGGCCTCGAAGAATGTGAGTGGATGTGGTTCTCCAGGAGTATTGCCACCACCACCCCCCCCGCCGTGCCAACCCCCACAACCCCCTAACCCCAGTGGCGCATTTTAGAGTTCATAGAATGCACAGTGTCGTTTTGAAGTGTGGTGACCCAAAACAGGGGAAATTTCGTTTCTTCATGTTCCAACCACTATCTTTTTGGAATTCCTATTCTCATGTATAAGCTTTAAAGTGTAAGCCTGTCTAAATGAACTTTCTATGAATTTTTTTTTTAATGTAGCAAATCCATTTAAAAATCCTGGCTCTCGGGATCCCTGCGTGGTGCAGCGGTTTGGCGCCTGCCTTTGGCCCAGGGCATGATCCTGGAGACCTGGGATCGAATCCCACATCGGGCTCCCGGTGCATGGAGCCTGCTTCTCCCTCTGCCTGTGTCTCTGTCTCTCTCTCTCTCTCTCTGTGACTATCATAAGTAAATAAAAAAATAAAATAAAATAAAAAAAGAAATAATTTCTGCTGAAAAAAAAAATAAAAATCCTGGCTCTTAGAATACAGGAGCTGCTCTTAGAAAATAGAGAATGGTTTCATCAGCAAAGGGAGGAGGAACCTCATGCAATTGCAGCGCTCGGTGAAGCACATGCTTGGGTCTTGTTGAAGTTGGGCCTCAGATATCGTGTGGCTTCATGAAGTGTGGGGGAATAAGGAATCGGAGAGAATAATAAGCATTTGGGAAAAAGGTAGAAATGGGAAGAGAACGAAGGAACATGGTCTCTGGAAGGGTGAGAGGAATTCAGTAGCGAATGAGACTAGCAGACCAGGAGGAGGGAACAGATCCTACCCTTAAGTGTCATTGGTGACATTTCCAAACAATCACGAAACTAAAAGAGGGATATAGGATGGCTGAAATAAAGAGCCTCTTCCCTGTGTCCTCGGGAGGCATCAAATTGGAGTTGCAAAGACATTTTAAAAACTCTATAAAAGGACATTCAAAGAGAAGCATGCAAAATGAGGTTTTGGTTTAAAAAATACGATACGACTATTTATGATGTATTTTCCTATGAATGAAAGCAAGTCATAAGAAGAAAAAAAAATTATCCGAGTTGGTTTGGAAGGCGACTATCGTAATTAAGGTCCTAAACGATGTGAAACACAAATTCCGAGCATCGTTCAGAGCGTAATTTAGATCTTTATTTTTGGTGCACCGAAGAGTTTCAAGGCAAAGCCAAGGTACTGGATTTGTGTGACATAGCAGCATCCTCGTGTTGAACAGAGTTTTCATTCTTGAAGAGTTTAAAATAAATGTAAATGGTTTTCTTTTTCTCTCCCACTCTCCTAATAGTGTATTCACAGAGACTTGGCTGCTAGAAATATCCTCCTTACTCACGGTCGAATCACAAAGATTTGTGATTTTGGTCTAGCCAGAGACATCAAGAATGATTCTAATTATGTGGTCAGAGGAAACGTGAGTACCCACTCTGCTTGACAGTCCCGTGAAGGATTTTAGTTTCGAGTTTTTCTAAGAATTGCTTTTTATGAGTTTCCTAATGCAAATCCTACCTTTGAGATGCCATGTATTTTAGCAGTCAGATTAAGCGTACTTCAGCAAAATTTGCATGGTAGGCTGAACATTACTACAACTAACATTCCGATAATAGGACTCCTAATTCTAATTGTGTAATTATGGGGCACGTGAAGGAAACAGAAATAGCCTTAATTTTCATTATAGCCTGAGAATAGCAACGAACTCTATTTTGTTCAAGTGAAACAAATGTGGGCCTGAAGGTCACAGCAGGGGAATTTTCCTTGGACATTGACATGCTATGCGCAAAAGATCAAAATCTAAGAAAATGTTCAGAATTAGGTATGTAGAATGTTGGATCTTCTAATCAATAGAGAGCATATTAAGTAGGTTCGTAAGTAATGATTGGGTTAGAGAACATAGTGATTTTATTTCAAAGTGCTTTATGTCCCTGCCAATTCTCCACGTAGCATCAGAACAAGCCCCTGGCATTGGAGTGCAGTGTCTTCACATTTTCAGCGTTGGAGAAACTAAAGCTCAGTCTATTTTATATATTTTAGTAATAAGCATCATCAACTAAGTCTGAGATGACACAGGTCGGTAAAGGCCGAAACCAGAGCCCACGATCTCCAGAGCAGCGTCCCATTAGTATGGGAAGCCATATAGTCCTGTGTCTCTGTATTCTTCTACATCTATTTGCCCAGGCCCATTTCCCCAGTCCAGATTTATTTCTGGAGGTAACTATTTATGTTCCTTAGGATAATGTAATATTTTCTCCTCCATCACCGTGGCATCCTCTGTACTTGACTTGGTTTTGTAGAAATGCTGCTGGCTTTACTTCCTGATCAAATCATGTATTTCTTTCCTTGTTTGATTGATTGATTGATTTGAGAGAGAGCACCAGCAAGGAAGGGGGAGGGGCTGAGGGAGAAATAGCCCGAGCAGGGAGCCTGATGCAGGGGTTCGACCCCAGGACCCCGAGATCATGACCTGAGCTGAAGGCAGATGCTTCATCCACTGAGCCACCCGGGTGCCCCTCAATGCATGCATTTCTAATAAACCTCTTCTAAGACTAGGTTCCATCGTTATGAGGGTTAATGGAAGCAAGTTGTCTCCATCCTGGTCCATGCAGTATTGGAAGAAAGAATGAAGGGCACGAGGAGGAAGGCAGAAGGTTCAGGACCCAGTCTCCCCCAGTTTGAATCTGGTTCCGTCGTTAAGTGGCTGAGTGTTATTATTTGGCAAGAATTACCCAGTGGCTCTCAACTTTGCTTTTTTCCCTCCTCTTGGGAATAATAACTGTCACCTGACTCATCACGTTGTGAGGATTAAATGAGTTAATCTATGTGAAGTGCTTAAAACAGTGCCAGCCACGTTGCAGCTAATACATGGCACTTGTTCTTCCGAACTGTTCTTTATAGATGTCTGATTTGGAATATAAATAATCATGACAGTGGTTGTTAGGCTGCAGCTTCTTACTAGCTTGTTACCGGTTAGTGACCATAGTTGGAATGAGAAAGGATGGGTTAGGTCCCACCCGGCTTCAAGATCGGGGGCTCCAGCTCAGGGCCATTGAACTAACCAATTACAAATCTCTCCTCACCAAGCTCACACAGCTTGGTACCACCCCAAATTCACTATATCCACAGTCACTGAGATGTCCCTGTGTCGGTTTCTCGGAAAGGTCTTTCACAGGCCCCCGAACCCAAGACACCTGTAGTAGGTCTCAGGTTAAGAGCCCCCATGGGAGTATTAGCATAAAATCTGGGAAGGGGATACTAGAAGGCTTTTTTCCTATCTTTTAAAAATACTTTATTTATTTATTCATGAGAGACACACACACACAGAGAGAGAGAGAGAGAGAGAGAGAGGCGGAGACACAGGCAGAGGGAGAAGCAGGCTCCTTGTGGGGAGCCCGATGCGGGACTTGATCGTGACCCTGGGATCACGACCTGAGCTGAAGGCAGATGCTCAACCACTGAGCCACCAAGGCACCCACTTGCTCTCTTTCTTACTTTCTTTTTTTTCCTGCTGGCTAAAATAACTTTAATGCTAGAAAAAAAGATGGTCTTCCCAGTTTTCAACCCTAAATGGATTAAGAGGAGGATTGCTGTAGCTTTTTATGGTAGATTAAGATCCAAGAATCCACAGTGTCTATAAGAGGAATAGTCACAGCAAGTTTGGCTCGATTTTAGCAGAAAGGGTTCGGGATGTGAGGTTCAGCTGTTGAATTTAAAACCCGAACTGCCGCTCGCCACCTTGGAATAGTCATGGTCACCATAGGCCCCTACTGTTCTTTGTGTGTCTGCTTATGCGAGGCAATTGCTTCGAGATTAGTGAGTCAGCAGTACTGTGCTAAGCACCTTTGGCCACCCACACGATCTCATTTAACCCGCAAAATGACTCGTGACATTTGAAACGTTATTTCTTCTTGACCCAAGAACACATTGAGGCTTACTTACAGATACTTAAGTGCCGTTTGCAACGTATTTGTAAAGGATAGTTTGGGTTTCATATGAGAGAAAACCCAAAAGAGGAGTCAAAGAAGTGTCGTAGCCATAGGCCAGGGCAGGTGTAGAGCTTCTGTGAAGCACTAGGGACCAAGTCCTTCTACTCTCCTATTTTCTTACCATCGCTGGTGTGGCCCTCCTCGTTGGGCCGCGATGGCCACCAGATAGCCAGCCACCAGAGCCAGAGGCAGGATGGAGGAGGGACAAGCAGGAAAAGAGCAAAGGGCACACGCCAGCCATGTCTTAAGAAGGCTTCCCTGCACCTGCCATATCATACTTCCCACTTAGTGGCTGACCTGAGTCACGTGGCTCTGCTAAGCCGCAAAGGAACTGGGAATGTAGTTTTTATAGTAGGAGGACCATGTTTCTCTTATTAAGGAAAAAAGGGAAAACATATTCAGTGGCAACTAACCAATCTCTGTGTTAATCAAGGCCAGTGGTGGAGCCAAGAATAGAACCCATGTGTCTGTCTCTGGCATCTGTGCTCTTAACCACCATGCTGTATGGACTCAGGGTGCCCCCCCCCCGCGCCTTTTTTTACAGATTTTGTAAGAGAGAAATTGAGAGGGAGAGAGAGCATGAGCAGAGTGGGGATTGCACAAGGAGAAACTGACTCCCCAACTGAGCAGGGAAGTGCCATGTGGGACTTGATCCTAGGACCCCGAGATCATGACCAGAGCCGAAGACAGACACTTAACAAACTGAGCCACCCAGGTGTCCCTCAATGTCCCCATCTTGAAGATGAGGGTAGTACCATGTGAGCCACCTATTTCAGAAGTGGGAAGGAGTCCTCTGAGGTCATAGGGTAAAAGGCCTTTGTGAGATGACCGTCACCTTCTCACCCTCACCCCCTTAGCTGGAGCGATGTCTGTAGGAATACTTTTCTTTTCTTTTCTTTTCTTTTTTTCTTTCTTTTCTTTTCTTTTCTTTTCTTTTCTTTTCTTTTTTTCTTTTCTTCTTTTCTTTTCTTTTCTTCTTTTCTTTTCTTTTCTCTTTTCTTTTCTTTCCTTTCCTTTTCTTTTCTTTTCTTTTCTTTTCTTTTCTTTTCTTTTCTTCTTTTCTTCTTTCCTTTCCTTTCCTTTCCTTTCCTTTCCTTTCCTTTCCTTTCCTTTCCTTTCCTTTCCTTTTTCTTCTTTTCTTTTCTTTTCTTTTCTTTTCTTTTCTTTTCTTCTTTTCTTTTTTCTTTTCTTTCTTTTCTTCTTTTCTTTTCTTTTCTTTTCCTTTCCTTTCCTTTCCTTTCCTTTCCTTTCCTTTCCTTTCCTTTCCTTTCCTTTCCTTTCTTTTCTTTTCTTTTCTTTTCTTTTTTTTGAGCTTCTTAATTAACATTGCCGGATCTGTTGTGCTTCCATTACAGGCTCGGCTACCTGTGAAGTGGATGGCCCCTGAGAGCATTTTCAACTGTGTGTACACATTTGAAAGTGATGTCTGGTCCTATGGGATTTTTCTGTGGGAGCTCTTCTCTTTAGGTAAAACGCCTGGGCAAAGGCACCTTGGTTGGGCGAGAGCATCTTCTTTAAGGGGTTAGCAGGGTCCTGCTTGCTTATTATTAATGCTGATCTGCAAACCGTTTGTGCCTCAGGAAGCAGCCCCTACCCTGGGATGCCAATCAATTCAAAGTTCTACAAGATGATCAAGGAAGGGTTCCGGATGCTCAGCCCTGAGCATGCACCTGCTGAAATGTAAGGGCCGGGATATTTCCCTTCAGATCATGCTTCCCCTTTTATTTTCCTTTTCAAAGACTGAAACCTGAGTGTTGAGGGTTTTCACTACGGTTTCATGGTTTGAAACAGCAGTGTCTCCTGGTTCCTTCCTATGACGTGTCGTGTAGCTTTTCATGATCTCTTGTCACCAAATGTGCAGAAAGTTTCAGCAGCCTTTCACACGCACGGTGTTTTGGTTCATGCGTGATATGTCCAGTTTGCATGGCCCTGGAATTACTTTTGAGACTGTCGCATGACACCGTGCACCGTGAGAAGCCAGGCTAAGGGCATTGAGTGACAGGAAATGGTCCTCGCTCTGCAGGTACGACATCATGAAGATGTGCTGGGATGCTGAACCCCTGAAAAGGCCGACGTTCAATCAGATCGTGCAGGTAATTGAGAAGCAGATTTCAGATAGCAGCGATCATGTGAGTTTACTCCCACCAGGCGTAGAACCTCCCTGCTTTCTCCTGGGGTTCTCAGGCTCGGGGGGTTCTGTTACCCATCCCTTCTCTCCTTGGCTCAAGCAGCGTACTGAGCTTCGGGGAGGCTAGGAAGGCAATGAAACGGGTTCTTCCGGGCCAAGCCCTGTCCTGAGCCTGCCATACAGATTTGCCATGGTTCCTCCCCACCCCAAATGCTGATCATGGGGTCGGCGTGGTCTCTGCCTCACGTGTCCGGGCCATTCAGCCTTGGGACGGTTGGGGTAACGTGAACTAGAATAAAAGCACAGAAAAGACAGCCTGTTACAGCAGTGAAATAAGCCTTCTGCTCAAACAAGCATAGCCAGAAATGGCAGCTGGCTGTCATGCCCACAAGCCATATAGCATGAAGAGCTTTTTGAGTTTGGGAGATCCCTGCCAGTGATTTGGGGGGGCAGGGGTGGAATTGAAAAACTCAAATCCATTATTTCTCCTCCCCCTCTTACGGAAGAATTAGTGATCCTTACTTTAACTCAGATTTTTTTAAAGCTGCCTTTTGGGTGGATTGGCCTGGAGCTATCCTTTCTAAAAGCATACCACTGGTATTTTGGGGTTAAAGCTTGCTCTTTAGGGTGTCAGGGCATGTTTCCAATTAAACAGCATTCCCCACCTATGTGTTTAATTCTCAGCAGAGGGCCCCTGGGAAGGCCACCCATTTCCCAGTAAATGACATCAGCCATTGGGTTATAGTTGGCTACAGAGGTTTAGAAACTCTTTTAATAGGTTAGATAGTACTTGTTTCCATATGTGTCCCAGCAAAAAAGTAAAAATTTTTTTTTTTTTTTTTTTTTGGCCATCACGTCTTATGCATCAGACCTTGGGGTAAATGAGGAATAAGACAAAGCTTATATTTTCTTTCATCAATATGGGGTTTTGGCTGTGAAAGTCTTGTAAATCTCTTCTCCTTAAGAAGCTTTGTGAGTTATTTGTGATCTGAGAATGCATATGTACCCCCTTGTTGCTGTGTCCGTTGCGGGCACTGGCATATTAATCGTGGACTTGTTTTCCTCAGATTTATTCCAACTTCGCGAACCGCAGCCCCAACCCAGAGCACCCCGTGGCGGACCATTCCGTGCAGGTCAATTCCGTGGGCAGCGGCGCGTCTTCCACCCAGCCTCTGCCGGTGCACGAAGATGCGTGAAGCAGGGGAGTGCCGGGGGTCTCCCCAACAAGAGCGATCCCTGTTCTTTTGGTTCCTATACTGGTTATTCTGTTCTCCTTCAGCTTGCATCCTATTCCAGGGTAGCGGACACCCCTCTGTCCCTCCCTCTTTATGAGCACACTCTAATTAGTGGCCAGTGACTTTTGTCATCAGCCACCATCCTGTTGTAAGAGTTCAGACTGCACATTGTATTCCCAATAGCAAGGCAGCCCCCATTAATGAAAAAAATAAATAATACAGACTTGGAGCAAGGGACGATGGGATGGGCTAGACACCCCGAGTCCTTTCCAAGGCTTCTCCAGTTTCTGTTTGAAAAGCACAGTTGATAGTTTATTCGAATAAATGGCAGTGGTCGGCTTTGGGCCTCCTAACCATCCATAATGATATGATGATGCAGCAAGATTAGAAGCTGAAACCTGATCTCTTGATGTGGAAAATGGGATGTTATTAGAACAAAGGGCAGAAGCTTATGAATGTCTGGGCTTAAGAAATCTAGTATTTCATGCTGGGAATGAGACATAGGCCATGGAAAAATGCTCCCTGAGCACGAACAAAGACTCGCTGCTGTGCATGAGCCTTTGTACTACTGACCTGGTTTGTAAATAGAGTTTGCTATTAGGACGCTGAGAATTGGAGAGAAGGCCTCCCCAGCCAGCATCTGTATATACTCATCTGTAAATTGTACATGTTCCTATATTTGAAGGGGGGGGGACCCACAAGATGTAGTTTCTGGATACGACCCTGGCTCAAGTCTGCTGTGTTGTAGAAATAGATGAAGAGCCAGACAGGATTGAAGGAAACCGTGCTTTTCCTTTTCTTTTTTTCTTTTTTAAGAAAAAAACCCATAATCGCCCAGCACAATCTTCACAAAAATCTCCTTTTGTAGTCTGTGAACTTGCTCTGCAGATGGTCCAGAACAAGCCTACCAGCTTCAGAAAGAATGGCATTGCGCTCAGTGGATTGGATGCCGTTTGAAAAAGTGACTTGATTTACTACTGCATGACTCCCGCGGGAGTGACGATACAGTGCCCTTTTAGTCTGGATTCTTCGGTAGCCAGAAATTAAATTTAAATCCAGCCTCCAACTGCAGGCATGTCCTGGACGCCGGGCCAGTACCTATATAAGTGTGTGTGCACGTGTATGCGTGTGTGTGTGTGCTTGTAGAGAAATATTTGGGGGGGGGTGTTCTTTGCCTTGAGCCCAAGAGGGTCCTTCAGTACCCAAGTAGTAGCTTGGCTTTTATCATCAGTACTGCTCGTTTCTCTGAACCTAGCTGTCTAGAGGAGCTTCCCAAAAGCTTACAGAGCGTCCATATAGGAAGCAGAGTGCTTAAATACTTATTTATTTGCAGTCCACCTACACTTCAAGCACTCTGTTGTTTAGACTCAATGTACCGTACCCATTCCTTAGACCTAAGGCTACTTCCCCACTAAAGCATATTTAAATTTTACCCTTTATGCTGTAGCCTGGATATTATTCTTAGAGTTCACTTAAAAAAAAAAAAAAAACTCACTGCCCAACTGTCAGGGGTCCGCGTGTTTGCGGTCAGGTTCGTGTGTTGTCCTGCGAGATTCAGGTATGCTGCCTTCATGGTTCCCCCTCCTGGGTCCCTTAGACTACATTTTAGAGAACTGTGGTCATTTATCTGGAAGTAACCATTTGCACTGGAGTTCTATACTCTTGCACCTTTCCAAAGGTAACGGGTTTTGGGGTTTTGTTGTCACGTGAGAGATTGTCGCTGTTTGCTCTCCTTTGTCGGAAACTTTCCTTTGTGTTTCTATTGACTTGGATTATGGTAAGAAAAGTGGTTGTCAATTGTAGATGTCTAGGTACTTCAGGGGCACTTCACTGAGAGTTTTGTCTTGGATATTCTTGAAAGTTTATATTTTTATGATTTTTTTTTTACATCGGATATTTCTTTGCAGTGGCTTAATGTTTGAAATTATTTTATGGCTTTTTTGGTAAATATTGAAATGTAGCAATAATGTCTTTTGAATATTCCTAAGCCCATGAGTCCTTGAAAATATTTTTTATATATACAGTAACTTTATGTGTGAAAAAGTAAGCGGTGCAAGTTTAAAGGATGTTGGTATTCCATGTGTTTTTTTTTTTTTCTTCCTGGTATGTTGTCCAATTGTTGACAGTTCTGAAGAATTCTAATAAAAATGTACACATATAAATCAAGTGGAATTGTTTGGTTATTTCTTCAAGCTTAGTGAAACCCAACCTCAAAGTGTTAAAGTGCATTCACTCTGACATTAGAAAGTTTGTTCCTGGCAGGCCTAGGATCTGAGCAAGACCGTCGCATCACTAGGATTTATATACTTGAAGATTCAACAGATACATTAAGAATTTAGTATGTGCTGTATTTTCTCCTTTTATTTTTGCAACCCAGTGTCCCCGTGTAAATTGAAAAATAAATATAGGAAACATTTTGAGAATACTACGCATTGCTATGATTATAATTAGGTTGATTTGTGTGAAATGACCGTTTTTGTGGGCAAAATGATAGCTAAATAGCAATTTCATGTGGTTCAGTCTCATATAACTGGCATGTTTCCTCCTGAAAGAGATTGCCTAAAAATGAACGTGAACTGTAAAGTAATCCACGGGGTTGACATGAGGACTCCCAAGACACTGGTGTGTGTTCTCGTTGGCTTGGATTTTGAAAAGAGTTTTTGTCCATCATGAGATGTTCATGCTCTACCCTTCAACCATTATCCTCACTTGCTTCTGGAACAGTGAAGCTCTGTCTCTTGCTTGGAGGAAGGTGATTTGTGCCAATTAGTTGGGTCCTGTCCTGTGGCCGGAGCATCCTTTGTGATTAGGAAATACTGTCCAGACCAGGGAAACCTGTCCAGGGCCTGCGAGTCCTCCCATCTTGAAACAAACAACAACCCTGAACCACAGAATCCTCCTAAAAATGAGTTAGGCACAAAAAACACCATCAGTTTTGATTTTCTTTATTGACGTGGCGTCTAAACCCGCAGAAGTTCTCTCCGGAAAGGAAAAGGAAGAAGGGTGAAAGGTGCGGCCTACAATGAAGACGAATCCTTTTACAGGAGGGAATGGTGTGGCCAGGAACGCTTCAATTGTCTGTGAAAGCACCCACATTTCTGCCAAGCTTTTTCCATTATCACATTACGGACAGGAATGAATGCTAACTGACCACAAAACAAAGAAGTCCCTTTTTTCTGAATGTTTTCAGTGTCATTTAGGCTTTTTCATCGTGTGAAATCTTGAGTTAAAAGCCGTCGACAGCCCCTGTATTATTAGCCTCTAGTTAGTTCCCTGACTGGCCCAGCTTTTCTCTTTCCTTTTTAATTCTTTTCAGTTTTCTTTAAATTCAGTTAACATATAATGTATTATTGGTTTCAGAGGGAGAGATCAATGACTCATCAGTCTTATATGATACCTGTGCCCTCCTTAATGCCCATCCCCCAGTCACCCCATTCCCCCACACCCCTCTCCTCTCCAGTGACCCTGTTTGTTTCAGACTTCACTTAAGAGTGAGTCTCTTATGGGTTGTCGCCCTCTCTGATTTCATCCTGTTTTATTTTTTCCTTTCTTTCCCTATGATCCTGTTTTGTTTCTTAAATTCCACATGCAACTGAGATCATATAATTGTTTTCTCTGAACCTTCTAGTTCCATCCACATCATTGCAAATAGCAAGGTTTCATTTTTTGATGGTTGAGTAGTAGTCCGTTGTATATGTACCACCTCTTCTTTATCTATTCATCTATCCATAGACATCCGGGCTCTTGTCATAGTTCGGCTGTTGTGGACATTGCTGCTATAAACATTGGGATGCAGGTGCCCCTTTGGATCACTATGTTTGTGTCTTCGGGGTAAATACCCAGTAGTGCAATTTCTGGGTCGTAGGGTAGCTCTATGGTCAACATTTTGAGGAACCTCCTCCGTACTGCTCCGCAGAGTGGCTGCACCAGCTTGCATTCCCACCAACAGTGCAAGAGGGCTCACCTTCCTCTGCGTCCTCGCCAGCATCTGTCCTCTCCTGACTTGGCGAATTGTAGCCATTCTGTCTGGTGTGAAGTAGTACCTCATTGGGATTTTGATTTGTATTTCCCTGATGCCGAGTGATGTGGAGCATTTTTCATGTGTCCGTCGACCGGCTCAGCTTCTAATCACACAGTAGCATCAAGGTGCTTGATGTCCTGGCTAAACCTGGGCTCAAGTCCTGGTTCCAGGCTTGTCTTGACCACTTACTAAAATGCATGGTGTTGGGCAGATCGGCTCTTGAAATCTTAGTTTCCATAATAGTATGATCTGCCTCAATGTACTAATGTGAAGCTGTCGAGACCACGTTCATATGCCTAATACATAAATAGTGCTCACAAATGGTAACTTTTGTCAAGACTAGTTGGGCTTACTAGGAACAAAGAAGATGCTCCTGTACCAGCATAACCCAGCTGGTATCCCATGTGGAACGGTACCGTCAACATTTGCTTCTGGTTGTTTTCTTTTCCCCAAATGCAAACAATATCGCGCTAGTTTGCTGTGAAATTTGACTTTGCTATGGAGATTTCTGTGTTTTATTAAAATTATTCCAACTTTTTAGCCGATGCAGGGCTCCCTGTCCTTGATCAAGCCTTCCTTCCTGGCTTCTCTTCCATTACCATATACCCATGAATATGCCCCACTCTTTCTGCCTCCACCCATTCAGATTTCATATCGTCTGTTCCTTTCCTATCAGCCGCCACCTTTCAAGACTAGGGAAATGATCTCAATTGGGAGATGGCTTTCGATTCCCATGGCGTTTTGTACTCCTAATTACTGCTCTTAAAGTCTCTTCTGCCTTGTACGGTCATTATTTTGGTTTGTATGTCTCCTCCTCACCCCCCACTCTATCCTGTCTTAAAATCAGTGAACATAAAGTACCTCTATGTGCTAGGATTGCTAGGTTTAGTGATCATCACTTCCTTGTTAAAATATTTATCTGACACCCCAAAGGATAAACTGCTCAGGAGGTTGTGAGAGAGCTTAAGACTTCCCTAAGTTCACTTAGTAGACAAGGAGCCAGAATTTGGATCCAGACTGGAGTCTGTACTTTGGTGGTGGCGAGTATTCCCATGCTGACGTCCCTCACTGCATGTGCATGCAGACATCACTCATTATCACTCTTTCTCAAAGAGCCAAGGTGCCTTAGAAGTCCCAGTCTTCTCCAGGGAGCCCATACAGATCTATTGGAGTTAGCCTAAGCCTTGTCACCCTTAGATGATTACCACATTTCAACTTTCTTTTTTTTTTAATTTTTATTTATCTATGATAGGCACACAGTGAGAGAGAGAGAGAGGCAGAGACACAGGCAGAGGGAGAAGCAGGCTCCATGCACCGGGAGCCCGACGTGGGACTCGATCCCGGGCCCCCAGGATCGCGCCCCGGGCCAAAGGCAGGCGCCAAACCGCTGCGCCACCCAGGGATCCCCACATTTCAACTTTCTTGAGACACAGGTGGTCTCTGTCTCAGACACTCGGGAAGATTCTAGGATAGTGCTTCATGAGTGATTAATATTTTTGAATGAATAATTAAACATCCCATCAGCATGGAGTAAG